CGACGGCGGCGCCTGACCGTTGTTGACAACACTAGATCACGTGCCAGCTTTGTCAACACTAACTAGCGACCGACGTCGCAGCACGCACGCGTCAGTCGATCGGACGGACGGACAGTTGTCGAAGTCTAAAAGCGGCCCATCACATATTATTTTGAATGTCTGCTCTTCGGCTCCAAGAAATAAGCTTCTCATGGTGAATTACGCCCCGCCTACGCAGTTTTAGGAAGCATAGGACTGAATAAATACTCATTCGGTACAGTACACAGCGCACAATGTACTAGTACTAAATTGACAATAATTCAGCCTCGTCTTCACCATTCGAGCTCGTCCCCATTGTGGTCATGCTGACCAGACTTTACATTTGTCACTTTTTTGATCCAAAGGACCTTGGAATAAAATTACAATAGGTTTAACTTTGCACAAACATGTGTTTCACCTTCTGAGTACATCACATGCTGACTCGGCTAAACAATAAGCTTCATTTGGTACCAAACAGCTCGGTCTACAGTCGGGGACAGCAAGGTGGAACAAACGATCGAAGAAACTCCAAGTAACATCCTAAAACACGACTTTGCACGGCGTTTTTCCAAAAAATTTCACTCAGATAAATGTGAATCCACACAGTACGTGGTGAAAAGTCGGATACATTTTCAGCAAAGGATCAAGAGGTATGCAATTGCACCCTGGCTCACTAATCCAACTAGACACTAATGAAAACCAGAGGATCAGTCACTTGTGGAACAACAACAAAATTTGAAAAACCTCGAAGAGTAAGAGGAGTGAGTACCAAGTCAGAAGATGTCGATGACGAAAAATCAAGCATTTCCACAATCGTTTCCGCAAGAGGCATACAATGAACTAGCAGCGAGTCTCTGCACTCTGTGCCCCACTCATCAATAAGCAGTGATAACAGGTCAAGGGCGAAGACAATCTGACCGTTCCATCTGGAAAAAGCAGCTTTAAAGACGAAAATGAAGCAACATTACATCATCTGCAAAGGCACTCACTTGTTGATGTCTTTTTTCCTTATAGCTGTAAAGAACTTCTCGATCAAATCAGTGATAAGCTTTTGGCCAGAGTCGCCCGATATCAATGAAGTTTTATGCACATTTTTCAAAAGTACCCTAGCTATGCGCAAGTAGTTGCTGCTAGACCTTCCATTACTGAGTACGACAAATGAAAAACGGTACCAGACAAGGGACCAGAGCTCTGTAAAATAAATGAATGGCGAAATGACTAGGGAAAGCAATTAAACACTGCTTTCTTCATCAGTCTGAACGATCTGAACAACGATAGATCCGATGTTCTTACAGTAATATAAAAAATCGGCTGAATTTAAATATCAACGAACTTTGGAAGTGATCACCGATAATAGAAGACGAGGATGATACCACAAATTTGGCCAACACGTTAGAAATTTCATCTTCGACCCATATTTGAGAGTTTACAAATGGTTCATGAATAATAATGAAGATAAAGTCCAGGAATACAGCGCAGTCTTCGCTCAACAGCTGTCCTGAATGATTGCGTACTTGCGCTCATCTTCAATTTCCGTTTCAACCTCGAAATAACTCCTAAGCAAAGTACATCTCAAAAAATATGTGAAAAAACCGACTGTCACAAAGCTTATTGAGCACATTGATTGCTAACTCGAAGCAGGTCGTTTTGCAAGAAACACGATTCTTTCCTAGCTTTTCTCCATTCTCTTTCACTTCCTGTAATGCAACTAACAATAAGCTTTTCGGTGCTACCACTGAAGAAACTAGTGAAAATAGAAAAATCAATAAATAAGTAAAAAGTGCTTACTAGCAATGCAAGGGAGCATAGGTCGGAAATTAAGGTGCTCAATGGATATATATTAGTGTCGGCTCCACTGATGTAAAAAGAGGTACAGTTTGAAACTATTGTGACGATATCTCGTATGGCTGCCTGGAAACCAAGAACAATATCTATAAGCCATAATATATGCTTGGAATAAAGATGGCTGTAAAAAGCAATTTGTGGGTGCCATGGTGTCTGAGCAGCAGACTAACTTTGAAATAATGACTGCATTACGATTAGAGAAGCAGGACGAAGCTAACGTGATACCCAACGCGCCGGTAGGTCTACATCAAGAATGTCTAACTTTGCAGGTTTTCTGTTTGTAAATACTCGCTTCATTTCTTGAAATTCTCCTGTGGTCCCATTATTAGAATATAAAAGCTGACCACACTTTCAAAAATGACATGTGTTAAAATAGTTCAAAATGAAAATGCAACATGGATGCTCAGGTACAGGAACTTACATCACGCTCGCTGACTTTCTTGATTGACTTATCAAGAATTCCTCGAACCAATTTTCCCAATTGGGGGAGGCCATTAAGAGCGTGATCTTCCGTGAGCGCTGATCCATTTGAAAACATCTCATATCTCAATGCTCAATTATTAACAAACAAAACTGGTTAATGAATCAATAAACTTTAAGAAGGCTGCTACATCATCGGAGCGTTGAAGTATGAGAACACAAGGCTTCTATCATTACTTCCCTGATTCCACGAAAGGTTATCTAAAACTAGTACTATTCGCAAGAGGACCTGCCAGCAATGCAGCGTTTTTTTGCTGCTTATTACAGAAGAAAATAGCGGAGCAATTAGAGCGAGTTTGATTGGGAGCGATCTACAAGAAGTCGTTAGAGTTGGTGAAATAGCTTGAGAAAACCTTTGCCGACATCTGGTTCGTAATCGCTCTCGCGACAGTGTGTGACACCCCAAAAGTACTGTATGCCATTTCAGTCAAAGTAGTGACTGCATGAGAATAGGGATTGTCTACCGAATTCGATGGCCTACGAAGATGAGTATATACATAGGTGCGACAGGACCCCTGCCTAAGCGAGTCGGAGAATATATGAAGGGGCTTAGAAAAACTCGTACTCCACCACCTCGGGGATCGCATCGAACTTGGTGGCCTGGGGTCAAGGAGTTCATAATCTCACTAGCCATTCTGGCACTAACAAGAAAGATCCCATCCAAAACACTTGGGACATTTTGGATTGCCGCTAGGGATTCACAAAACGATAGGAAGAAAGAGTCTGTGGGCAGTGACCTCGCGCCTTTCCTCCACCTCTGAAATCTTATATGAGATTTGAAAGGAGATGGGTTCGATCAATGGCAGTTTGTCAGATTTATACTGCCACTGGACACTTGAGGTAAATTTTATTGGCGAAAACGATGGATAGAATGCTTCAACTCAGCACAACGTTACTAGGAGATTAGGCGAATAATTAATTAAAAGTAGATAAAGCAAACCTAGAGATTTGGGAAATTTCGACAACAGTGAAAGCTGTCAATAACGACAACGGACCATGAAAACTTTCAGAAATTTCAAAAAATATTCAACACGAATCTGCAATAATGGGAGGGCGGGACGCAAAATTGCGTACACAAAATGATTCCTCGAAAAGATGACGGAACCGTGCATTTGATGGGCTCTTTGAACCACCTCAATCTACTTCGTGATGAGCATCTTGAGCTACTCAACAAGTATGGAGAGCTTCAACAGAAGTATGCAACTTTGCAAAGCAAAGTTGATCCGGATCAAGTACCGGATGCCTCTACTTTGGCTGGACAACTGTGTTCTACTATGAGAAATCTCTTCGAGAATCATACTTTCAGGTGAGTTTCGTTCATCATCAATATCTCTGTCCTCTATGAAGATCTGTTGATAGTCGATTGGCACTTTATCAAGGTGGAAGCAGATATCTAAGTACAGGTTATTGTCGAGCCCGTAAACAGGGTGTTGTGTTTGCTTGAATTCGAACCCACGGAGAGTTGCTAATATATGCTTTAGAACAATAATTGCTGAATCCTTGTCAGTGCGTGTAAGTGCTTTGCCTTTAGTGATATTGTCATCCGTGTTGATGGTCGCGAGCTCAAGTGTCATAAGTTTCTCTTAGTGGCACGAAGCAACCATTGGAATGATCTCGAATCCGCCGATTTCGTGGACATTCCAGGTATCATTCCTTTCCAAAAAGTTTGAGTTGTATGCAGTTTGGTGACAAGAAGTGCCTTTTGAAAACTACTCTGCAAGTCCTAAGATTTGAAGCATAAAAGAAATCTCCAATTTTTGTTTTCTCGATACTCTATTGGGATCAGTTTTGATGTTTCGATGAATGCCTTCAACAGTATAACTCTCTCTTTTAGCTCAATAGTCTAGCTTAATTCTGCATAAAAATAGTCCACAAAGACCAAGTTCAGTAATTGGACTGTTGTGTACACATAGTTCATAGTTTTTCATATCTAATTGTAAACTGCTCCAGTTGTAGTAAGCTTTGGTGTTGAAATGTGGTCTAAGCCCTCTGAAATCTATGCAAACTGTGAAATTCTAGACCCAGAGGGAATTGGATTTCCTGATTACTACCGTGTACATCAATTTTGTAACCCTTCTATCTTGCAGACACTTCATTCAAGGCTTTTGATGTTGTGTATCGATGGATGTACACAGATAGCTTACCCCGTTCAAAATTCGAAATTGGTCTCCTGCAAGAAGTATGCCAAATCGCATTCCGATTTCACTTCAGTGGTCTTCAATCTAGGTTATCTCTTATGATCCCAGTTTTCCGTTACATATTTCATTTACCATACCTTTTATTGATGGAAGCGATTGATGGCTGGAAATCTTTCAGATGTGTTCAGCTACTGAAAATTCGTGTGGATGTAAAAAATTGTATCTCGTTATTCGATTTCGCTGACTTAGAAGGAATAGTGGAACTACGCGATTATTGCTGTGCTGTTATTGCGGCCCATTGGAGTGAGTATAAGCCGCAGCAGTTTTCCCATATGTCTGCGCCTTCACTCTTTCGTCTACTTAAGAGGTGAGATCTTTGGTCAATAGTTACAGTCTCGTGTTACTGTCGTAAGCTCAAGTTCGTCTTGCTCGTGGAGATTTAAACATAAACAAATACGCAGCGTTCTAGAATTTTTTTGGACGCGCTTCATCGGCTCTTCCAGTTCAGCATGTTTTGCGAATAAAGTTTCATATTGACTTTCAACTTCTACTGAAAGCGTGTAGAAAAGCTGCTGTAAAAGGTGTTGGTGTTGTGGTGCTGATTTTTCCAAAGCTAACACCAGTGTGACAATTTATTTCGGAAGCTTTTTGTCTTGTTTTTATATAGGAATTAGGGCTCTGATGACGTCCGATTTTCAAAAATTTTCTTTGCTGTCTGCCTCGCACATACTTATCACCAACAACTTTCTTGCTTTCAGTAGTACTCGTATCCAATTCCGACTTTTATCCTTCTTGTTTAATTTTTTGTGTTTTTATTTTTTGAGTAAGTGTGCATGATAGACAGAAATATGCGCTATACTTCATCATCGGTTTCTAGAAAAGCGTATTTCTCTACTCATTAAGTCGGAAAGGTGTATGAAAACTACTTGTTTAGAAACTCGTCTCATGTGCTCCATTCAATCGTTCAGCTCAATCGTGAAGATGTTCTTCTGTTATACTTCATCGAAAATGATTCCAAGGTGATGACTTTTTCTTGATCTTCTTTAACGTCTCCGAACTACTTCACTCATCACCTATAGTAAGCTCTCGAAGCTGTTCGGTGTGCTTACATTATTGACGCTTGAATTTGCAATGTTTGTTGATTACTGCTTGGAAGCTCTCTCATCTTAAGCTTAATATCCGTGCATGGCGCCTACGGTGAATGCTCATAAAGGAGCAAAGTCCTTGGACGTTGATCGATTAGGCGTTTTGGGGTCACTGACATCATCCACCTCCACTCAGTACCACATTTGTGCAGGGATGTATTTTCGGGATTTGAATGGCTGAGGGTCCCTCTTATACTATTCAGTGCTTCTATCCTCTGACAGTCAGACGGGCTCGGTACCGTTAGTCCGACCTTAAGAGATGAAAATTTAGTTGACCTTGTATTCATAAGACATGGATGAGCAAATTCTTAACCATGCTGTTGTTGAATCTATTTGTTGCTTTGCGAAACGACCGCTAAGCTACCCATCCTCAAGTCAGTTGTTAGAAGGTAGGTGTATCATCATTGTTTATGAAGTCGACAGTAACTATAGGCCTTCTGTTAGTGAGCTGACTTTATAATATTGAAAATTGTGTCTGGCCTTCTGTAAATCATCTTATCTCCTCGATTAAACTGGCTAGTGACTGGAGCGATTTTGTGAAAAAACTCAAGAATGGAAGAATTAGCGTGAACAATCCCTTAAAGTGATGCTCTTGTCGAGCAAATACTAGGCACAACGGACCCTATTATAATGAAGAGCTAGGAATGAACGGAGATAAAAATAGCGACAAAAGACGTTCCATAGCCACTTCTTCACGATCGTCATCAACTCCATACCCTACTCCCTCCTTTTCGCGGTGCCAAGGGTTTGGAGAACATGCCACTGTAATTCCACATAGGGGATCATCTCATTAATATAACATATAGCGTAGATCCAAGACATCATCCGAAAACGTATTCGAGCTTTAAATTCCTCTACAAACGGCAACTTTGACTTGGGAAACTTTCCTAATTAGCGCTGTGTTTTTAAGGTTCTGCACCCATTCGAGCAAAATGTATGCTTTCTCTAAATGATTGTTTTGCGCAGATTGAGTGCGTTGTTTTTGCTTAGAATAAAGTACGACTTTAGGTACACACCGACGTTGATGTTGTTGATGAAAAGGGATTATCCGCGTTGGAGCTGGCTTTAACTTTGGGCCACATGGACATCGCTTCCCAACTTCTGAAGAAAAACGCCAATTGTAATATCACTGATGGATCGGGCCGTTCGATTCTGATGCGAATGATAGAGAAAGGCAGGTTTGTTTTCGTTTGTTGTTTGAGTCAAGGCACAGAGGTGGACTTCAGTCTACATCTCTTTTTGCTTTGAATGACCCTTAGTTTTGATTCAGGTGATACCACTGCGTGCGAGTTCTTAGCCTCAGCTGGTGCTGATCTGAATTTCGTTCAAAGCAAAACTCAGTTCACGCCGCTTCATTATGTTGCGCGTTCCGCGAATCCGGTCAGTATGGCAGAATGGGCTATGTCGCATATTAAGGAAGTGAACGTGAATGTAGTTGACGCGGAAGGAAGGTGAAATGATTTTTTTTAAAATAGATTTTCTATGAGTCAAGTCGACGACATCTCTGCTTCAGAACAGCTCTGCTTTTGAGCGTGATGGCGGGTAATCCCGCTCTCGCGAAAATACTGTTGGAGCATGGTGCAGACGCAGTGAAAGCTGATAATGAAGAAAAATCACCATTGTCTGTTGCTCTATTTGATAGGAAGGATCCAGAATTGAGTAGAGAAATAGTGAATTACGGAGGCGTCAGCGCTGTGAATCATTGTATTGATGGTGGTGAGCATATTCTGTTTTCCGCCTGCTACTTGTCTTTTACCCGTTTCTTTTAGTTTCGTTGCTCCACATTGCCGTAAAAAATGAAAATGCCGAAACCGTACAGTTTCTTTTGGAAAATAGTGCGGCAATAGATGCGGAAAATAGAGAAGCAAGTCATATAGTTCCTTTTTTTGCATTTTTCTAGTTCAATTCAAGTGTTTCCATGAGTGTACCATCTGATGTTGCTGTTTTGCTTTGTTTATCATCATTGTGGGTTATACATTTTTTCAGGGCGAAACACCTTTGGAGGCGGCTGTGCGGCAGAATAACCGAAACTTAGTCACTTTACTCTTGGATAGAGGTGCTTCAGTGAGGATGAATGGATTAGGACAGACTTCTGTTTTACACAAAGCAATTTCTAGCGCTCCTGACATGCTAGCCATATTCGCAGACAAGGCAAAAGGTATGCTACTTTTCCATGGGCAAGAATCCCATTTATGACCGAGTCTTTATTTTCGAATAGTGCATGAAATTCAGGTGTGGATTGGAGAACTCGAGGACTGTTAAATTACGCTCTGGATGAACAGTCATTAGACTGTGCCAAGATTTTAGTTACAGGTCGCTACTGATTTGTCGCTACATTTTATCAGTGCTTCCCTGCAGCTTTTTCTTTTAGCGGGAGCCGATGTCGAGGAGAAAGATACGTTAGGAAACACCTTGCTTGTCCAGCGGATCTTGATGTCTGACGATATTGGAGCCGCTTTTCTTCTCGAGAACGGAGCAAAACATCTAGTCAAGTCAGTGTTTTCCAGAGCATTTTTCCTAAGCGTATAATAGTACAACGCGAGAATATTTAGAGACTCGACAGGACGAAGTTGCTTGGAAATGTCAGCTTTTTATGGTCTTATAAATACTCTAAGGATCATATGTGGCCTTGGTGTCAATATTAATGAACGCACAAATGGCGGTTTCGGTTACACGGTTCTGAAACATCCTTTGAGTGAAGGTTCGTTACGCTCATTGTTGGTTAGGGCGGTGGTGCAACTTCATTTTCGTAGAACCATAACCTTTAGTTCGTGCTTCACTAGTTTCTTTTTCATCATTTTGGAATAACCAAGAACTGCTCCTACGCCACAATAAAAGCCCCTTTCTCCTGTTGTTTGAACTACCACTCAAGTTGCTCGATGTGAACTCGAGTGGGAAGCTGTTTACTGGAATCGTATACGAATAGTTGCGTCCCAAATCTCGTTCTCCTGCTTAAAGTTTTTTATTTTCAACCCGTTCATAATCCATTCCTTATTCACCGCAATTTCCACTCTCGTGAATCTTTGCCATTCCTGAAGCCAGCTTTCCAAGCGCATTGAATGTTTTCGTTTAGGTCACTATGAGTGCGCATCGCTTCTCGTGTCGCTTGGATGTGACTTGGAGTCAAGTACTGCAGATGGACCGTTTATACAGACAATGTTGCACCATTTCATTGATGTTGATGATGAACGAGCAGCAGTTTTTCTTGTGGAGAGGTGGGAGGAATTTGATGTATAGCTTATAAGGAAAAAGAAAAAAATCAAGGAAGAAATTCTTTTCCCTCCTTCGAAGGAAGCTCTGCATTCGGTAGATAATGGCACAAAAACTGCCTTTTTCGAGATTACGAGCACAATTCCCTCTTCTAAACTTTGAACGCTTTTGCTGGCCTCTACTACATGCTGTATACTGCTTGAAAAGTAGAAGGCGAATTGAAATGTATTTAGTGGTTGTGATGGTAATGCTGTTCGAATATCACGTGAGCCTGACGTCGAAAAGGAGGAGGCTCCCATTCACCGAGCAGTTTCTGCGAAAATGACTGCTCTGGTCAGCGCTCTCGTTAAGGCAAAAATTAATCTCGCTGTTCAGGTTAGTGAATTGTTCGCACCCCGTTAGTCATCGAGGCCGACTGTTTGTTTCTCTATAACATCTTTGCTTAGGACTCACATGGTCGCACTGCATGCCACCTCGCTGTCCACCTACGTAATTCCGAAGCCCTACAGGAGTTGTTGAATGCCAGTGATGTGGAGTTCTTATCACTACGAGACAAAATGGGACAAACTCCATTTTCACAAGCGCTTTTAATGAAAGAGCATGCGGTAAATGGTTGCCAAAAAATCTTCTGCTTCAACTTATGACTGGTATTTCAGCTAGCTGCTGCTATTGTGGAGCGGCAACCTCATGTTGCACTGCAAACGAATGGGAATGGTACGAACCTGACTTTATTATTCTCCCCTATTTGTTTATTGTGATGAAATTCTATATCTTTCTCTGTGTTTATGCGATCCCACATCAGCTTCAAACTCGTATGGATAAGGGGTCAACTGGCATGTAGAAGAGTGCCAATACTTGCATCGGAGAGTTTCCAACTGAATGGTTTCTATATCGTGAGAGATCATCAGCAGAAATAGAGGGAGACTGCTGATTCGACCTCAACTATTGGAGAGGTTGCCATCGCCTTGCCCAACCCAAGTCGTAGTGGGGCTACTTGATTGATAACGTCAATTCATTTTTCGTGAGCTTCAAAAGTAAAGGTTGTTGGCGCATAAAGAATCTGGTTGAAACCAATGCGCCCGGTGAACTAAATCAGGTGTAGGAACTTCAGTGGCCCCTCTTGATTCAGACCCCTTTCATTTTGCGAGCCAGTGTTTGTAGTCCAAGGATTTTCGTCCAGAGCAATGGGAGTACCATAAATCGAATGGAAGCGACGCTGGTACAGTTTTCAATAGCTGAGTTATCTCTCTTTGTTACTCTTATGAGTGCGAAAAATTTTCTTATTATGCTTTGCTGACCAACTATAATCATGTTGAAAGCTATTTCGAGAAGCTGTCTTTTGATTGATTCCTCTTAAATTTTTATAAATGATTCAAGCAATATTCAATTTGGTTCACATAGCTATGAATTATTCATAGCATTGCTTTAATTTTTGAGAAGAATTTGTTGGAACATACACCTGGTGGAGTCGATTATTAGTTTAGCTAATTACGATCGTATACGATCATCATGGGTTGTTGTGACTGAATTTATTTGGGAGGATCGTGACCAATGACCATGGTATGTTCGCACTTGATCAGCTCACTGTTCTGAGGTATTTTACTTATAGGCGAGAACCTGCTCCACATATCGGTGAGGTCAAACGATTTGGAGAGCGTGCTATTTCTTCTTAGCGCTCATACCGATGCTACACGTGTAACTACGGATGGATCACGGCGTAGCGCACTTCACTATGCTGCTAACGTGGATAATGAATTGATTTTACGCAACTTAGTAGGCATTTTTCTTCGTTCACTGAAACAGACTAATTTTGCTTAAACACCGCACAGTTTTACAGTTACTGGCTGGTTGCGAGGTGGACGTGACAGCAGCGGACGGCACCACACCTCTGCAAGTGGCCGCTCGAAACAACCGTTCTATCCATGCTGAGATTCTTCTGGAGAACAACGCTAATCCTAACATTTTAGATGAAAGGCGAGAAAATGGTAACGCAGTAGTCATTATTACGGACTCATATTTGTGATATATTTCGGTAGTTCATAAAAAAGGCGTTTTAGCCCTGCTGGCCGCCGTGCGCTCTGGAAGTGTAGACTGCGTGAAAGTATTCGTCTGCAGTCCAAGAGTCGACAGTCTTGCTGTAAACAAAAAGTGAATGTTTTTGATTTAGTTGTTGTATTTCGTAAGTGGGATTTTCGATGTTCATCGAAAAGTTACACCTGTATGATGCGCATCGGACTTCGGTAGGGAAACGTGGTGGCTTGAGCGGTGATAGGGATCAGTATACAACTCACCCTTCAAAGCGATTAAGTGCCCTATCGTTGATTAGCGGAGGTGTTCGCGACGGACTCCATCAGGGATTTAATCTTCAGACTACTGTTGTGATGACTTCGGCCCATTCTGGTAATTTTTTGGTGTAGGCTAAGATGATTTTTATTGAACAGACGAAATGGGAGACTGTCTCCGTGGGCTGAATCGTAAAGATATGTAATATGTGTTCTCTGACTCTACTGGATTACTGATACTTTTGTTGAACCGGTTTTTNTTTTTAGTCACGCAGCTTTATTTCAGCGGACAGTCGGCCTTACATTTATGTGCAACGTTGTCGAGTGATAAACTTCCGCCAAGGAGATCACCAGTTGAAATATGTGAGCTTCTCGTGAAAAGAGAAGCTCGTAGGCTCACTGAAAAAGATTTCGCTGCTTACGTTGATATGCAGGACGCCGACGGAAACACAGGTATGGCTAAATAGCATATGCTTATGTTCAGAACTGTTCGAGTGTACTATTTTTCCAGCATTACTTTTGGCATATATGGCTGGAAATGGCGACATCTGTCGCTGTTTGCTTCGATATGGTGCAACAATGGGTGCCCGAAATGTTGATGGTGCGACAATGTTCACCTACGAAACTCCCACAAGATTGCTTCTATTCCGATTGCTAGGTAGAACGTTTTTTTCAGTGATCTATTCAAACTGACTTTCATCATAGCCAGTTAGTTATCGGAAGCAATTACGAGTCATACTTGGGTGTAATTAGGTGTTTTCCTCATTACGGGCGATCATCTCATATGCTCGAATTCAGTAAAAGAGAACGGTCAGTAGGATAAATAAGTTGCTCAGTAGTTAAGAGGGCACGAACGCTTTATATCTTAAAATCATGCCAAACAAAGGGATGAAAGAAGTATTTCTTTTGAATTTGACAGAAATGATTATGTTAATGGTTTTAGATTCATTAGAAAGGGAACCGCGCTGGTCAGATGGTGACATGTGCGATTGTGGCATTCGTTTTTCAATTACGATCAGGAAACATCACTGTCGGTAAGTTCAGCTCAGTGTATGTAGGAAGTCGGTTTGATTTGGAATGCCTTCTTAAATTTTCGCTCTACTACTACTTTCGTCTAGAAATAGTGGTCTTAAGTAAACAGAATCGGTCCGTCCATACTGAAGACAGGGTTTTCTCTTTATCTAGGCATTGCGGTCGTCTTGTGTGCTCCAAGTGCTCAGAGGTAGCCATGCCAATAGCGAAGTACGGAGAAGAGAAGAGAGTTCGAGTGTGCTCGTTATGTGCCGAAGTCCTCACAACAGGAGTGGCACGGTAATTTCGAAGGAACAACGAATTGTCTTGTAGCCAAAGAACATTCGAACAACGACAGTGATAATGCGTTTCAGCATAAGTTATAGTTGCCTTAAATATGGGTCCAGATGTCTACTTAGTTCATCATTTTGAAAGGTGCAACTCGTTTCTGATTGTCATCACTTTGATTTCTTAGTTTCTTGAGCTCTTCAAAAAGGATTTTTGAATATACCAGAACAATAGCCATCTCATCATCTTCATTGTTTCCTCTCGGAAAAATAGACGTCCTGAGATTTCTTTCTTGTCATTCGTATGAGTTATAGACCCACAGACTAACAATTTTTGGAAAAGGTCGTATGAGTTCTGTTGAAATTGCTAAGGTGCCCTATCAATTTCACAAAGCAGTAGTGTATTCATTCTATCTTGGTGCTTTTTTCAATCTCACAAATTGCGCAATATTCATGGAAGGCAACTTTGAATCAATTATTTATGCTGTAGGTAGGTATACCCCATGTGACGACTGCTTTTTGTTCTTCAGGAATGAGTGGTGATCAGATTCATTCACTTCGAAGATTAGTTCCACCTCATCATGTTTCGGTTGGACATAGAATACTTAAACTATATTTTTGGCTGAGGGCTTATTGGGGAGAACGCTATCTCACAGTGGTCATACTTTCATGATGCCAACAATTTCAAGGAGGTATTTTGAAGTAAAAGGTTGTGAACGCCTGATACTGTGGGTTAAGCCATCAACGCGATGGTGTTGATTTGAAAGTCCAAAGGTCGTGGCAGAAATCGAGTAGTGTCTCATTTTTTGGTGCCTCAGGAATTTCAAGGTACGAGAGGTTAGCAGCTCTAGGAGTAGGATATTGACAGTAGAACTCAAAGATAAGGTGATTGATAAAGGACCGTTTAAACATATGATGGGCGCTGGAAATCTTTTCTATCCTACGTTTAGTAGACATCATATCCGTAGAGGAACTCATATTAACTGTAATATTAATTTATTGCCTTTGACTGGATATTGTGATTGTATAAGCATTTATGCGGTTCAGACATTGTGATGTTTCCAAGTTATAACGGCATTTCATCATTCCATTTGCCAGTACTTAAAATGTCTATCTTAGCCTTGATATCTATTGATTTTCGAGATCGTGCAAGCATAATCCTTATTTATTAGGCCAGTCAGCAATCCTTTTCGATTTGTGTGATCCGAGCCCTTATATTAATGTTTTCAGTATGTGTAAGGACTTTTTGCATAATTCTATGTAGAGAATGCGTCAATAGAGACAATGAAATGATAGAATTTTCTCCTCCTTTTGAGCGTTTTCCTCTTTTCAATGACTCCATAGCGTTTTTCCTTCTGAATGACTTGCTAATATTTCTCATCAAAGTGCCCAATAGCAATAAATATTTCTATGTTGTTTATTTCTTCCTTGTAACTAATTCGGTATTAGTAAATTTGTTTCAAAGGCTCCTATGCAGAAGGGAAGTCAAAAATGCATGGTTATTTTTAAGGTGGTCATGGTCTCCCTTATATAAGACTTTTGCAATGCCTCACCCACTAAATCCGAATTCACTAAGTGCCTGCCCTTGAGGAGATACAAATTTGCCTCTCATAGCCTATATTGAAGTGTTTCTTGAATGGAATTGTCATGCGGATGAAATTCGTTTTGGTTACGATTCATTCGCGGCTTCAGCACAATGATTGTTATTCGGAGAAGGCTGGATTTCCACAGGCTGAACCCTTGGTGGTGAAAACATCGTGTAGAAACCCTTTATTTACAAAAACTACTACATAATACAACACAACGGAAATTCTCTTAGAAATCTGAACTGGCCGGTTTGCACCTAATGCGACTAGCCGAGGTGTGTGCTCCTGTCTTATTTTGCCTGCCGTCTAATAACATTTCACGACCATACTTGGAATGATAGTAGTGATCACAGCACTGAAGAGCTCGATAGAAATTTTATATTTCAACATGATACACGCGGAAAAGGTGTAGGGCAGGTAGGGCAGGTAGGGTTCTTCACACAGCATTGGTCACGGTTTCGAACCCCGGGTCGATGTCTGCCTAGGCCAACCAAGGCTTCAATTCCTCCGGGGTCGATTAATTGGTACCAGACTCGTCTGGGA